CCTTTGTTTGATATGCACATAGACCAAGGTGAGCAACACAGGCTCTTTAGAGCCTCTAGTTTTCTTATTGGATGGTAATTAGCTATGAAAATCAGTCATCTGCTTACTTATGATTACGTTGAAATATGATAAAATCAGTCATCGGCTCGCTTATGATTACGTTGAAATATGATTTAAGAACAAGACTTTAAATGCTTGTACTTTAAATCCCTGCATGCAATAGTAGTCTGATTTTCTTCTTTATTACTACACATATATAGATAAAACATTGTGAATATATATTTTATGTTATAATGAACATAATTATTTAGGTTATAAGTCAAAAATCGCAAATTTTGCCTTTAAGATTTGCATTAAATTCAAATCACTATATAAATAAATAAATCTAAATAACATATAACTGAGACGGTCGTAGAGCAGATTGTAACCCCAAGAATACAATGTCAACCCAGGCAAAGCTCTATTGCCATCACTTGGCGCCAGTTGTTGTCATCTGTGGTCAGGTATATATCATAAATTGTTTAAAAGATCTTTTCTGAAAGTACTGTTCAAATTTTAACCAAACTTGTGGTGAATGATCCTTAGGATATCTAGTATAACATTTGTGTTTTTTTCCCTTGGTCAGTCAACAAACATGGCTGCTATGGCTTAAAATAGAACATTAGGGTAAAATGCATTTATTTTGACTTAAGTCTTGAAAACATAAGAGATAGATACAATCTGACTGGGGGAAAAAGCTCACAATGTCAAGACCTACTTCCTGTTATTACTGGAATTACCAGATGAAGATGACTCCTTAAAGAGATTGTATTTTTAGTTACAAGTTGAAAAATTCTTAATTGCAATTCTTTTCAAGTAATAAAGCTGCCACTCTGAACTGTATGCTAATCCACAAGGCCCTACAATATACTATCTAATGCACCCAGCGATCATTTGTGTACAATGAATTTACTAATCGTATTGACAGAACACTTAAGTCCTGGATATTTCATGGCAATGCACTGTAAATAATTGCAAAGGTATTTTACCAGATTCTCTATTTCCTCACCGTCTTTTGGCATCACTTTACCTTCAGCAGAATTCAGACATACTACAAATGACCCGGAATCATTCCATGCTCACTACAATGAGCAATTTTATTCAGCCATTCCATGTATCTTTGTGCACTTTACAACATGTATAATCAGTACTTTTAATCTTTAGATTTACTATGTTTTTTTACATTTTTATGTGTTAATATTTCCAGGACTAAATGCTTGGTTGCAATAAAACGGACTTATCCTGCTTGAAAATAATAGTTTAGATAAATAAATAAGTATAATCTACCTGTATTTACCTGAGTTTACCTGTAAAAGAATGCACGCAAATGTATTCAAAAGCTGCACGCAAATGTAATGATTTTTGCGCGCAAATGTAATGCACCGATGCTCACTTATTATGTTTACCTGTGTTGACACCTGATAGCAGAAAATACTGACCAAGCCGGAACATACAATTTCTATATTATGAAATAACTTTTCAACAAAGACTATATATAAAAAGTAAAATAAAAAAAAAATACGAACTCCAAGGAAAATTAAAAACGGAAGGTCCCTTAACAAATGGCAAAATCAAAAGCTGAAACACATCAAACTAATGGAAAACAACTGTCATAATCCTGACTTGGTACAGGCATTTCCGTATGTAGAAAATGGTGGATGAAACCTGGTTTTATAACTAACTAAACCTCTCACTTATATGACAGTCTCATAAAAATTCAAATGTATGACAACAGTGTAATAATTTAGATTTTAGAATTTAAAGTTTTAATGCAATTTTGTTAAAAATAAAAATTTAAGATTCAGCCGAACATGCTTAGGGTGCAATCAACAGTTTTTTTCTATGACGTCATATTTTAAGGGACCATGCCTAAGTGACCCTTAGTGGTGGAATGGTTAATAAAGATACTTGTATAAAACTAGATATTACTGGAATCAGAATTTTCTCTAGTTTATATTGAAATAATAATATACTGTACTTTTAATATAGTAAAAAAGTTCTATCCAGAGAAAATGGGGAAAAAGTTGCCTAATCTGAACATAAAAAACCTGAAATCAGGTCATGTGCATACCCATGTAAACATGATACAGGCACATTTCCCATAATCAAAACTGTATGAAATTCATAGGTTTTTACCTGGCCTTTAATAAAAATCTTGTTTCAGGGTACGGTTTCCTGCTTCGAAAAGAGCTACAGTGGCTGCAAATAAGTTTTCAATTTTCACTGCCAAAAAAACAGGATGTTTACAGTGTTGTCTCCCCTCAAAACATGAATATTTAATCTTATTTTTAAAATTATTTTAATCATTCAACCTGTTTAATTTGAAAGCTAATTAACTAATTTTTACAATCAAATACAAAAAACATGATACTTTTTCACCAATTATATGAATAAAAAGGGATTTCCCTCCATGGTTATTTTTAGTCGGGGAATAACCCCTAGTTTTTTATACGAAACTGTTTATAGCATCCTTAAGCAAAACTTTGTATGCGATATATAAAAAATTCTCTACTTTTCTGAATCTGTACATTATATCGATTAAAATGATGTCTTACTTTAAGGATTGCGACCATCGATAGTGAAACTACAGCTCATTTTTTATGTCGCATAGTATTGGCATATTGGCCAGTGGCAAATAGTTAAACTGGCATATTCCAAACATTTCCTGTATCACATTTTCATCAGTTATACAAAGAAAACAAATCATAAAATTGGGTTTCTATTGAATAAATAGAATAAAAACTATGAAATAAACATAAATAAAGTTACTTTAAACAGATTTTGTCCCTAGTATTATATGAACTAAGGTGTAGCTGAGTTGAGAAAAATATTGAAATAGTGTATTTCTTAGGAACGGCACTTGTAGCTATTTGACTATAAAAAGTACCAAATATATAATATAATGAATAAAAATGTATGTTACACTGATCAGTAGTAAAGGTCAAAGTAGAAAAAATCTACACTTTTCATGTGCAACTTTTGGTTCCAAATATATGAGAGAATGAATAAAATTATTATGACGTCTCAAAAAGATGAAAAAACTTCAAAATTTGCACACAGTCTGGTTTTCTTATATCTGGTTGCTATGTACAAATCTGTAATATTTGCATTAAATATACCAAACTGATGCTTTTAAATTAATGTATGCATGCCATATGATATTTTTCAGAATTGTTTTACTCCATTCAGTAACACATTTCTATGCTAAAACCTCACTATATTATATGTTTGACCCTTTAAGGGTGCAATCAACAGTTTTTTTCTATGACGTCATATTTTAAGGGACCATGCCTAAGTGACCCTTAGTGGTGGAATGGTTAATAAAGATACTTGTATAAAACTAGATATTACTGGAATCAGAATTTTCTCTAGTTTATATTGAAATAATAATATACTGTACTTTTAATATAGTAAAAAAGTTCTATCCAGAGAAAATGGGGAAAAAGTTGCCTAATCTGAACATAAAAAACCTGAAATCAGGTCATGTGCATACCCATGTAAACATGATACAGGCGCATTTCCCATAATCAAAACTGTATGAAATTCATAGGTTTTTACCTGGCCTTTAATAAAAATCTTGTTTCAGGGTACGGTTTCCTGCTTCGAAAAGAGCTACAGTGGCTGCAAATAAGTTTTCAATTTTCACTGCCAAAAAAACAGGATGTTTACAGTGTTGTCTCCCCTCAAAACATGAATATTTAATCTTATTTTTAAAATTATTTTAATCATTCAACCTGTTTAATTTGAAAGCTAATTAACTAATTTTTACAATCAAATACAAAAAACATGATACTTTTTCACCAATTATATGAATAAAAAGGGATTTCCCTCCATGGTTATTTTTAGTCGGGGAATAACCCCTAGTTTTTTATACGAAACTGTTTATAGCATCCTTATATTCATTACACATTATGCATGTGTGCAAGTGTCCCTATCTTTTTGATAACTACAAGTTTTAGAGGCTTTATTGTAAAATATGTTTTTGTATTAGTTTACACTGAATACATGAGTAAAATGATTATTATTCATATTGAAAACCATAATAGATAGAGAAAATCTGACATGGGGAAATGCTCTAAATCTCAAGATCTACCTATTTCCTATTGTCAACAAAATTATCAGATGACTCCTTATTTCCCTTCATGATAATGTATGACTAATTTTCATGTTTTTGCCCAATATCTCATTCTCAATAACTAAATTAGATAGGTAGAAACTGTTATCCCTTTGGTATCTTCTGGCTCTCTAAAAGGCAAAAATGATCAACAATACAAGTAATAATATAGCAGATAAAAATTAAAAAAAATAAAATAAAAATGATCAACAAAATAAAATCTACAAATAAGTTAACATGATAGTAATAGTCTACTGACCCCATATAGGAGTTATAACCCTTGAAACATGAGTTTAACCCATTTTTGGATTTTTTGCAGAAGCTTCACAAAAAGTCACAATTATAACCAATTAAATTTTTTTTAAATTTCTGCTTATAATCATTTAAACAATAATAGATATACAGAAACTTGATCCAGTTTTAATGATCAGCAAGACCGATTTTAGTCTACAGAGTTTCTATTCAGCACACACACAATCTTGTTGTATTGAATAAATTTATTTTTTGTCAAAAATACCAGAAATGTGATACAGACTCCTGTTAGCCTCTTGTTTGAAAATATGTGATCCAAAAACTCACAATTAAAGACAAATACACTCACCAAAATAGGTTTCTCAAAAGATGTAAAAAAAGGCAGTAATCATGCAAATGTTTAATATTCTTTTAACTTTATTTTTTCAAAGAAAACAAAGTAAACTTTTCCTTATTTATGCATATGGACTGGGCTAGGTGAGTTATACAATGCAAGCTCATACAAATGTCTTGTTTTCTACTAAAAAATTATAAAAGTATTCATGTTATTATTGACTACATTACTTAATTTACTAGTGATTGTTTTTTTAATTAGGCATGGGTATCCTTGAAGAAATACTAGCCTCATCAGAATCTCCAAGACAGACATTTGCATCACCTCAGCTTCCAATGTTACAGTAAGTTTTGTTGTCTTAATTAAAAAACAATCTTTTGTATTTATGGTTTTGAGCCTTCAAATACTTCTTTTAAAAAGAAAGAAAAAACTACACAGCAAAGTTTGGTTTGTAAAGGACTACTGGATTACTTTGACATCCTCCTCTGAATGTCCATGTCCAACTTAAAGGAGTAGGCCTGGTAAGACCCCTTTTTGGCCCCAAAATATAGCATGCTTACAAATTTGTTAAAATATTAACTTTTAGCTATTTATAAGAAAGTAGAATACTTTTGTTCCATAAATATGGACTGTTTTTGACAATACAATGCACATGCATTAGGTACTAGCATCATTAATTGATGCAAAATTACTGTAAACTTCTCAATTTTAGCATTTGTTCTAATTTTTAGATGGTTTTGTCTAAAATGGAAGTGGCCGCACTTGTGTTCAGTCTTAATATTTAGATATATGTTGTATTTGATGATAATATATAACATATATAAATTGTATTTGATGATAATATATAACATATATAAAGGTTGAGATGGAACATGAATGGGGCCACTTACATTTTAGACAAAATACATCTGAAAAGTGAATTTTTATGGCATAATTGATAGATTTTTCATATTCAAGCTTGAATTTGAGTGTCTTTAATGACCAAATCAGTTCAAATCTTTTACATAAATTAATTGAATTGATTGAAGTAGACACATTAGTGTTTAAAAAATGTCAAAAATCTTTCATCAGATGTACTTAAAATTTTAGGCCAAAATTAGCCCTTACCGGACCTTCTCTTTTGATAAATAGTTAGAAAAGGGTTGGTAAAATTTTCTGTGCAAATGTGTTTCTGAAGATGAGCTGTATTTCATCCTTGCTTGATGTTTAAAACACATCTGATATACAAATGATATGTCTGAGTCTCTGAGGCACTGTAAGTTGTATGATCTTCTAAACTGTGGAGGTGCACTCTAGTGAATACATTCAGCAAAACTATGTAAGTGTAACCTTTTCTTAAAGTATGACTGTTTTTGGAAAGATTGGAACCATTCATCTAAATCTTTCTGAAGGCATTGACCTTAGCTTGTCCATCATGTTGCAGCCAGGTTAGCCACTAAATCCCAATGCATGTAATTTTCAGGTGTATGAGAAATAAATGGACATGTTAAAAATATTGGTTATATCTTAAGAGTAGTATGATTGTCATTAGTTTTGTGAATTTCCTGGCTAGTTTAGTCTTTGTTATGAAGTAAAAGTACTGATACAATACCAATATGATTGACAACTATCATTGGCAACTATACAATTAGACAAAAAGGCAGAGTTATAATAAGAATCCCATGTCTTTACCATATTTACTACAAATGTTAATTGACCAAATTACAGAATAACACAATTTAGCAGACACTTTATTACACAACCTAGTACACAGCTGAATATACAGTTTTTGACCTTAATAGTATAAAATTATGTTAGCTGTTGGATAGATAGAAATGAAAGATTTAAGTATTTACATAATATTTTTTATTCAAAAAATTTACGGAAGCCATCATGAAATGATTGACCATTATTGAATATCTTTGTCACAGATGACCAAGGATATGTTCCAATTGTTGTAACCACAACCATGTCCTCTTTTCTTCAACTGTGACATCAGTGAATGAGACTTATCACTGAAGTTTTACAAAGTTATGTCCCTTGGAAATGTAATTTCTATAGGAAATTGCATTGCATGTGTTCTCAATGTAAAAATAAGGAGATGTGGTACAATTGCCATTGAGACAACTATCCATCAAAGTTCAAATGAAGTGGATGTAAGCAATTATAGGCAAGCAAGCCTACATATCTTGTCAGGTTTTAATGAAATTTATTTCAAGGTTTATATCAGTAAGGCCTTGGATAAGTTCAAAAATCAGTACTGATCAACTATTTTTTACAGGAATTATGTCCCTTTGAAATGTGTGATATATATATATATACATATATATAAACACTCTCAATCCTGGTATTATGATGAGTTTACCTACAGTTCTTGTCAGATCTCAATGAAAATTATATCAGAGGTTTATATCAGAAATGGTTGGATGATTTCAAAAGAAATTGGAAAACTTAAAAATGATTGCAATCTTTCCTCCAGTGAGCTTTTACATCAAAGTTCATGTTTTTTACCTTGTACTATAAGATATGGGATCATATAAACTTGCCTGGATATTTTTTTCTCGTCTGCGACAAAAGTCACGGAAAAGGCAATACATAGGTGTTGCTTTTCCGGCATCATCGTTAAGTTTTCTGCTCAAGTCAGTTTGATAGGAACTACTTGTGATAGATCAGTGATATTTTCTATAAGATTTTTAGTGTGTCACATTTTGGATTGGCTATTTCAAAGGACAAAATGGATCTAAATTGGAAAGATAGTATATCCAGTGTATTTGATTGGTGATGTGGATGTTGTCCTTTTTGCAAGGTTATTAGTGGTACAACCTATAATATGACAGAAAATCTCTCAATTGTTTCATTATCTATTGTCATCTTTCTGAAAGAGGCATAAGCTGTCAAATTCATGTTCACCAATTCGACTCAAAATCTTATATTTTATTTATAAAATACTTAAACGTCTATCCAAATCCCTAAAAGTTCTAAAGAAACAATTTACAATGCAGGGACTCGTTATATTGTATCAGCATTTCATGTGTATTTTAGAATAGTTGCCATTCAATTAACCATGAGATGATCTATGAAGAACTTAGGTCATATGACCTAATGTAAACATAAATATAAATATAAATACACAGCATGCACATGCAATTGTATAATGACGATTTTCTAGGTGTTTTTGGTTTCATGTCATCTCATAGATTAAAATGATATATAAATCATCATTTTACCTGTATTTGAATGATTTTTTTGTGGACAGAATCAGTCAACCAAACGGATCTTATCAATGGCAGCCTTGTTTCACTTTTCAGTGGTGACATTCTTCCTTTTTGATAACTTAACAGTTAATACTTGTTACCAGGTGGAATAAGGCTTATGATGACTCGAATGTGGAACTTTCAAATACTTATTAAATATAACAAAGACACGGCTGTCATACGGTAACGACAACCACTGAAATACATGCTCTTGACTTGGGACAGGCACATATAGAATGTGGCAGGGTTAAACATGTTTGAAAGCGCCAACCCTCCCCTTAACCTGAGACAATTGTGTAACAGTACATCATAAGAACAAACTATAAAAATCAGTTGAAAAGGGCTTAACTCATCATATCAATACAAAGCAGAAAAAACATCTAACAAAAACACAGACCAGGCGTGGCAGGGTATTTATACATCCCTCACAACAAAAAAGATACTAAGTACAGATCTTAGAGTACTTGCAGTTACTGAAAGCAAGTTCAAAGCCAATAACAGCTAATAAAAAAATCATGTATCTAAGACTAAAATATCAATCTGTACACATCCAACATCCAATGGATTTAGTGTAAAAATGTCATTAACAGTCAGAGAAAAACATGACCTTGTGCAATGCCAAAATATAGGTATTGACAGATTGTAGTACTGTGAATGTGCATATGTGTTGAGCAATGATATTTAGTATGGTTTTAATTTTCTGATAATAAAATCAATATTTATACTAATAATAACAATATTCAAAGATTTAAATAATTTAAGAGTGTTGAATTGGTAACCTTTTAGAATTAGTTTATTTAAAGGATTGATAAGTTTTACCAGATTGTATATAAATTTCTTTCTTGGTATTATTCAAGTTTGTTTATTTCACACTGTTTTGTATGTAAGATTTGTACGATGTTAATACATGTATGTCATCAGTCATTATATATAGTATACAAAAATGATAGCTCTGTTCACTAATGTGTTTACTCGATACTTCGTACAATGTTGCAAATAGTACATTTCTTCATTTTGCATTGAAGGACTTCCATAATCAATTTAACTTGAGTAAAGAGTGTTCTTCTTTTTTCGTTTTTCCATAAATCCTTTTAAACTTGCCGAAAGCTTTCAAAAATACAGTTTCAAACCATGTTTAACATTTTTTTCTCGCCTTTATGATATTTGGTATGCAGTTGTAATAACATTTGCACATCTCATTCCCATGGTGATTGTTTAGCCCTGTACCTTCAGTCATGGTTCATTGACTTTGGATATTTGCATAACTTACATGTTAAAGTATTGCTATTTTAATTTCAACATTTGCATTATCCAAATAACAAATAGGCGAGACATATCTCTGTGTTAACAGTTTATTTAATTTGACAGTGATTTCGTGTTCTGAAATTTTACAATATGTTGTTAAAACCCCAGTGTGCTGTAATATTGTAAAATGTTGACAAAAATGAAGGAATTTTCTTAACCCCCCCCCCCCCCCAAATATTGTTTTTAATCAGTTGCATTCCCACATAGGTCACATGGTTTCGTGGTTTGTCCAGCCACATATAGTACTATTGTATTATATGTCTCAGATCCAGCTAACACTTTCAGTTTTCGAGGTAGAACTTTAATATGATGCAATGTGATGATACATATGATACAAATTCAGACATGTCCATCCCATCACACGTGTCTATTTTGCCCAATCGTGTCTACAAATTCATATCTCACCTAAACATGTCCGATTTCCTTCCACCCAAACGTGTCCAATTATTTACTTAGCTCAAACGTGTCCAATTTTTACCTCGCCCAAACGTGTCTGAAAATTGTTAACTATTAAGATGCCTATAAACTTTATGCTCTAATATGTCTAATATGACGTCTGTGATGTCAGTAATGTCTATAGCAAATTCAATCAATGGATACAATTGAAGAAGTCGGGTTTCTACTCGAGTCCAAAGGAATTATTATGCCCCCGCCGTAGCGGTGGGGGCATTAAGTTTTACCCTTGTCCATCTGTACGTACGTCCCAAAATTGGTTTCCGTTCTTTAACTTGAGTTTGCCTCAACCAAATGTTATGAAACTTATACACAATGCTTATTACCACAAAACACAGAGCAAGTTTGAATTTTGGTGGCGTCACTTTAACCGTTCTAGAGTTATGCCCTTTATAAATGGAAAAATGGCAAAATTTTTATTTTCTTCTAAATATCAAGTAATTTTTAAAATTGGAGTTATCTTCCTGTGTCCATGATTATAGTTGAATCAACTACAATCAATGCTTTATACAATGCAAGGTTTAATTTTGACTTCCACTGATAAAACACAGATCAAGTTGAATTTGGGTATTGTCACTTTAACCATTATTGAGTTATGCCCCTTTATAAATCGAAAGATTGCAAAATTTTTAGTTTCCATTCTGTAACTTAAGTTTGCCCCAACCTAACATTATGAAACCTATACACAATATTCATTACCACAAAACTAAGATCAAGTACAAATTTTTTGTTTCCGTTTTCTAACTTTAGTTTGCCTCAACCAAATGTTATAAATCTTGTACACAATGCTTATAACTACATAATACAGATTAAGTACAAAATTTGGTGGCGACACTTTTACCATTCTTGAGTTATGTCCCTTTATAAACATAAAAATTGCTGAATTTTTAGTTTCCGTTCTCTAACTTTAGTTTGTCTCAACCAAATGTTATAAAACTTATACACAATTGTTCTAGAGTTAGGCGTGTTTACAAATAGAAAAATTGCTGAATTTTTAGTTTCTGTTCTCTACTTAAGTTAGCCTCAACCAAATGTTATGAGACTTACACACAATGCTTATTACCACAAAACTAAGATCAAGTTCAAATTTGGATAGCGTCACTTTTACCGTTCTTCAGTTATGTCCCTTTATAACTATATGATATGCAAGCGGGGGCATCATCTGTGTCCACAACTATCCACATTTATTTTTTTATAAAATCCGCTATCCAAGGTTATCAATGCAAATGTATTTTTGGCACAATTCCCGAAAATTAAACAAGGTAATGAATTAAAAGAAGTTAAGGGAGCTACCATTTGATTTTTATGGGGAGCTAGGATGAAATTTGAAGAAAAAAAAGGCAGGACCTGTTTCGAGTAAAAAATAAAGACAGGATGAGCAGCTTGGCAAAAAAAATGCAGGATGACAATTTATGTATAAAAAGTCAGGATAAACTAATAAAAAAAAAGGCAGGACCGAATAGAGTGAAAAATAAAAAGGCAGGACAGAGATTACAACTAAAAAAAGGCAGGACAAAATTTTTCATCCAATGGAGACTTTGTAAAATTGCAGAGATGTTCAGAGGTCATAAATGTGAATTGAAGCAATTTTAAATTGGCAACTTAACTTTAATTTAATAAACAAAAAAATTATATTATTGTAGTAAATAAACCATTTTTTAAGACGTTTCGGCCACTGGCCTTCTTCAGTTTCTTTATTATCCTTTTTCACTACATGGTAGACATTTTACTTTCACAATCATTAAAATGTTATAGATTTACTTCCTTGGTGATGTTATGAAGGTCAAAATTGGTCAATTCAAGCAATATTTGTCTGCTATAAAAAGGGGGAATAAAGAGCAAGGGATAGGAAACGAATGGGAGTCTGAGAAATGATGTTGTTGATTTTTTTTTTAACCGCACAGCGTCCATTTCTCCTTCCCTTTCCCCCTCTCTCTCTCCCACTAATCAAAACAATATTGAAGCCTTGGCTTCCGATCTTCCGCTTAGCTACACCACTGTTATGCAATCTTACTATTTAGGTCTCTAATAATATTTTTGACAAATTAGTATGCCCAGTCTTGAGTCTTGACTCAGAAATTGATAGTTATTTGACCTATCATAGGGCTAAACTTTGAGCTGAAAGAAGTGGGAAAAGTCTAGATCCATTCTATTTATTGACAAAACTCCCTCTGAAACAGTTCATTTAAACTTTTGTAAATTTATATTAGAAGTAAAAAAGTCTGCTTCAAATGTTGGGGCATGATCTGAACTTGGATGATTGATTTATTGGTGTTTAACGCAACTTTCAACACTACTGTGCTATTTCGTGGCGGTCAGTTTTTATTGGTGGAGGAAGCCGGAGTGCCTGGAGAGAACAACCGACCTTATGTAGGAAATCAGACAATCCTAGTTAATTTAGATTGGAGTCGAGTGCACCTGCCCCGTGCAGGATTGGAACTCACAACCTCAGTGTTGACTGGCTAGTGATACAGTAGTTCGACTACTTAGACCACTCGGCCACAAAGGTCCCTATCTGAACTTGGAAGATAGCCAGTAGAACATTTCATTTCAATTCAGTCTTTGATTTATCTAGCAAGACTTTACACCGAAAACATAAACCCCCATCTAAAAGAGGCTTTCGTGTTGTCGAAATCTCTTGACAACAACGGTACATATTCTTGGTATACATATGTCAAGAATATTGTACCTGGTAGCAATATCTTACATAAAATAGAATATTGTAAAAATTTGAAAGCAGTTAAACTACTCAAGATTCTTATCAAGAGAGAAATAGAAGCCAAGTTTAAATTTTTAACTGAAAATAAATTACGGTAAATAGTTATGACGAAAAAAAGTATTTTTATACAAAATATAAAACTTGATCAAGATAAAGAATTTTACTTAATGTAACCACAATTTTATTACAAGAAAATGTTTCCCCAAACTCTGTATAAGTGACCAGAATCTTAAAATTAAAAAGGGTAGATATCTTAAAATCACGCGAGAAGATAGACTTTGTAAACTATGCCCAGTTCTTGAAAACGAGGAGTCAAATTGTTATATAAATAATAAATTAAGATTGGATCTATTTAAAAAGTTAAAATGGGAAGACAGATTTTTGTCACTTTCAAAAGACCATTAAATTATTAAACCCTATATCAACAGAACATGTGAAACTAATCAGATTTTTTTTTAAACAGTCATTAGCACTGAGGACAGAAGCAGCTTATTTTTTCAGGTTTTTATAAAGATATTTCTTGACTGCATTAATGATTCATGTTCAATTAATATTGCATGTCACAAACATTTTGATTTGTTTATATGACAATAAAGATTATAGTTATTATTACAAAAGATATGATGGTCTTTTTGAACTTTTTTGATTCGAGCGTCACTGATGAGCCTTTTGTAGAAATGCGCATCTGGGGTACAAAATTAAATAGAATCACATTTATTAAAACTCACATTTGGGATGGTCATCAGAGATTCTGTATTAAATGGATGCATTAATTTCTGAATTTACAGCATATAAACCCCCAACTTTGTTCCTGAGTCAGTGTAATTCTGTCAGATTGACCTCTCAGTTACCAAGTGTCAACCTAAGAAAGAGGGCAATGATTATATATAAGGAATGGCTGGAAGCCATAAATCTCATAATGTCAATGTCTCAATAGTGAATTTCTCAGCAGCAACTAAAATTCATGTACAGTGTCATAATATAAAAATAAGAAGATGTGCCAATGAGACAACTCTCTACCAGAGACCAAATGATATAAAAGTTAACAACTGTAGGTCACTGTACGGCTTTCAACAATAAGCAAAAACCATATCGCTAAAGGGTAATGAAAAAATTAAATGAGACCCAAAGTCATAACATTGAATAAGGATTCCAATAACAGAATATATAAACAATTTATAAAGCACTCAAAGAATTCTTATAAAAAGTATAATGAACAGCCTGACAGAATGACGTTAGTAAAACAAAACAGACATATAAGTCCAGCAATGCAGAAAATCCTAGAAAGGTATGATAATGTATTGAATAAAATTTAACCATTTGGCAAAGTTAATTGTAGGCCATTGTAGCAGTTAGGTTTCAATTTAGACCATTTTTAGTTTTGATTTTCTCAAACCTTTTATTATTAGCTCACCGGGGCCCGAAGGGCCCCATGTGAGCTTATGCCATCACTTGGCGTCCGTCGTCTGTCGTCGTCGTATGTCGTCGTAAACTATTTCAAAAATCTTCTCCTATGAAACTACTGGGCCAAATACCTTCAAACTTTAACTAAATGTTCCTTAGGGTATCTAGTTTATAAATTGTATCCGAAGTTTTGATCCATCGACAAACATGGCCCCCATGGCTAAAAATAGAACATAGGGGTCAAATGCAGTTTTTGGCTTATATCTCAAAAACTAAAGCTTTTAGAGCAAATCTGACATAGGATTAAATTGTTCAATTGGTCAAGATCTATCAGTTTTGAAATTTTCAGACGAATTGAACAACCTATTGTTGGGTTGCTGCCACCGAATTGGTAGTTTTAACAAAATTTTGCAGTTTTTTGTTATTATTTTGAATATTATTATAGATATATATAAACTGTAAGCAGCAATAATGTTCAGCAAAGTAAGATCTACAAAAAAGTTAATATGACCATAATTGTCAATTGACCCCTTAAGGAGTTATTGCCCTTTAAAGACAATTTTACACAATTTGTTCATCAAGTTTGCTAACATTTAAAAATCTTCTCCTCTGAAACTACTGGGCCAATTACCTTCAAACTTTAAGTAAATGTTCCTTAGGGTATCTTGTTTATAAATTGTATCCGAAGTTTTGATCCATCGACAAACATGGCCGCCATGGCTAAAAATAGAACATAAGTGTCAAATGCAGTTTTTGGCTTATATCTCAAAAACTAAATCTTTTAGAGCAAATGTGACATAGGGTAAAATTGTTTAATTGGTCAAGATCTATCTGCCCTGAAATTGTCAGACGAATCGAACAACCCATTGTTGGGTTGCTGCCACCGAATTTGTAGTTTTAACAAAATTTTACAGTTTTTTGTTATTATTTTGAATATTATTATAGATTTATATAAACTGTAAGCAGCAATAATGTTCAGCAAAGTAAGATCTACAAAAAAGTTAATATGACCATAATGGTCAATTGACCCCTTAAGGAGTTATTGCCCTTTAAAGACAATTTTACACAATTTGTTCATCAAGTTTGCTAACATTTAAAAATCTTCTCCTCTGAAACTACTGGGCCAATTACCTTCAAACTTTAAGTAAATGTTCCTTAGGGTATCTTGTTTATAAATTGTATCCGAAGTTTTGATCCATCGACAAACATGGCCCCCATGGCTAAAAATAGAACATAGGGGTCAAATGCAGTTTTTGGCTTATATCTCAAAAACTAAAGCTTTTAGAGCAAATCTGACATAGGATAAAATTGTTCAATTGGTCAAGATCTATCAGTTCTGAAATTTTCAGACGAATTGAACAACCTATTGTTGGGTTGCCGCCACCGAATTGGTAGTTTTAACAAAATTTTGCAGTTTTTTGTTATTATTTTGAATATTATTATAGATATATATAAACTGTAAGCAGCAATAATGTTCAGCAAAGTAAGATCTACAAAAAAGTTAATATGACCATAATTGTCAATTGACCCCTTAAGGAGTTATTGCCCTTTAAAGACAATTTTACACAATTTGTTCATCAAGTTTACTAACATTTAAAAATCTTCTCCTCTGAAACTACTGGGCCAATTACCTTCAAACTTTAACTAAATGTTCCTTAGGGTATCTTGTTTATAAATAGTATCCGAAGTTTTGATCCATCGACAAACATGGCCGCCATGGCTAAAAATAGAACATAGGGGTCAAATGCAGTTTTTGGCTTATATCTCAAAAACTAAAGCTTTTAGAGCAAATCTGACATAGGACAAAATTGTTCAATTGGTCAAGATCTATCAGTTCTGAAATTTTCAGACAAATTGAACAACCTATTGTTGGGTTGCCGCCACCGAATTGGTAGTTTTAACAAAATTTTGCAGTTTTTTGTTATTATTTTGAATATTATTATAGATATATATAAACTGTAAGCAGCAATAATGTTCAGCAAAGTAAGATCTACAAAAAAGTTAATATGACCATAATTGTCAATTGACCCCTTAAGGAGTTATTGCCCTTTAAAGACAATTTTACACAATTTGTTCATCAAGTTTGCTAACATTTAAAAATCTTCTCCTCTGAAACTACTGGGCCAATTACCTTCAAACTTTAAGTAAATGTTCCTTAGGGTATCTTGTTTATAAATTGTATCCGAAGTTTGTATCAATCGACAAAAATGGCCGCCATGGCTAAAAATAGAACATAAGTGTCAAATGCAGTTTTTGGCTTATATCTCAAAAACTAAATCTTTTAGAGCAAATGTGACATGGGGTAAAATTGTTTAATTGTTCAAGATCTATCGGCCCTGAAATTATCAGACGTATCGAACAACCCATTGTTGGGTTGCTGCCACAGAATTGGTAGTTTTAACAAAATTTTGCAGTTTTTTGTTATTATTTTGAATATTACTATAGATATATGTAAACTGTAAGCAGCAGTAATGTTCAGCAAAGTAAGATCTACAAAAAAGTTAATATGACCAAAATTGTCAATTGACCCCTTAAGGAGTTATCGCCCTTTAAAGACAATATTACACAATTTGTTCATCAAGTTTGCTAACATTTAAAAATCTTCTCCTCTGAAATACAGGTGAGCGATTCAGGCTCTTGAGAGCCTCTTGTTTGGTTTCCAAAACTTGAAACCATTACGAATCCAAATAAAACCACCAAAATCGTCTTAGGTAATATTTTCAAGTTTTAAATAATCACACAATTTCTTACAGAGAAATATAATATGTCACTGATTCATGTAAATATAGAGACATTGGGTACTAGGAGAGTACATTTCGTCCTCCACAATTCACCAACATTGCATACAAACGGTCCAACGATTTACAGAAAAGAACCAAAAAGATTAAAAAAGGAACGGAAAAGAGAATACCTCTGTATGAAATCTGGATAGTGTTAACAATTCCTCGTAAAAAGTGAACAGATGATTAAATTTAGATAGTAAATTTTAAAGGGAATACAGCAACGGATTCAGGATTTTGAAAAAGAGAGGGCCTGCAGGCCCCAAACTAGGTAATAAGTAGCTCCATAAGGGGGACCAGGCACCCTCCCCCCTAACTCCCCTCTGGGATATGTGAACAAAAATATGACTTGGTTTATTACTACCGATAATAGTTTTTTTGTCTTGCCTGTGAAGAAAGAGGCGAGACATAGGTGTTACTTTTCCGGCAGAGTCGGCATCAACAATTGTTAAGTTTTATGCTGAAGTTTGTTTGATAGGACTACTTGTGATAGATCAATGATATTTTCTATAAAGTTGCATTACTATCAGCACATATCACTGTAGGCAGTGACTTTCAATTAATAACCAATTTTCAATGTTAAGTTTTCTGCACAAGATAGTTTGATAGGAACTACTTGTGATAGACAATGATATTACTTTCAGTTTGTCGACCATATCCAGGCCCTGCCCCATAGGTCATGGTCCAACAACAAAAATAAATGAAAAACAAGTACTATCATACAGTACTATTAAATTTTAGATTGTTTATATGAAAGATGTCAGCATATTTGCTTGTGGCATTGTGGATGCTAATACAATAAATATACAAGTCTTCATCACAATTTCCTATCGGATGTTAAATGTCAAATAAACTTGTTAATGTGCCAGTGTGTCATTTGATTCAATCTGGGACTATATATATAAAAGAAGTCAATACATTATGTCCCAGATTCAATATAATTGTCAACTGAAAATAAATAAAAAGGCTTGTATTCTCACTTATTTTCCAAACCAAGTAAGAAAATTTTGCGGAAACTATCTTTTTATTTATAGATGGACTTTAATGATTTAAATTTTTGCAATTTGCTAGTCTCCTTCAGATTTTTACAAAAACGGTTTCATTATCGGTTCCTTCCGGTCCTTTTCTGTAAAATCGTCGCTCTTTTCTGTAAGTCGTTGGACCCCACACAAAGTGGTAAAACTGATGACAAAACATAACTAAATTTTACGGGAGCGTAGCTATAATCCGACACCCCGAAATTCCGACAGTCCAGTAGTCTGACAGTCCGATAGTCCGACAGTCGGTTAGTCCGACGGTCCAATAGTCCGACGATCCGATAATCCGACAGTCCGAGGGTCCGACACAAAGCCGTGCTGCTGCAAAGGATATGGATCTCAGTCGTCTTCATATAAGCTTATTAGTATACTGTCGAAACGCGAGCAGTGTTTAAAATTTAAAATTTGGAATGCGTTGTAATGGGATCCAAATTAAATCCTATACTGTTCGAACAATTAATTTAAGATTCCATTCCTGTTCATCATGTTCCTCTTCTTCTTTCTGTAACTCCCTCCTGTGGATAGGAGCACATCAATTGCTTGATTTTTACATGGGCTTATATTACACGGACGAAAATAGCTAAAATCACTTTGGTATTTTACATTATAAAACGCACTTGCTTATTAAAAACGATGGGCTTATATTAGACAGAAGATATTAAAAGTTATTCACTTTGTTACTTCGTTTTACGCTGAAGTTTCTAATAGTCTAAAATCTAATATGTTACTGATTCACTTTATGACGAAGTTGATAACGAGAATGTCTGTTTACATACATGCGCGTGCATGTAACGCATTATGTGGTTAAATGTGAAATGTCACATGTATTAGATGTATTTTTCTCATATCTGAGGGGCGTTAGCCCCGAAGATATGAGACGACTTCATAGGATTGATTTACATAGAAGTAATAAATAATTTTGTTTATCTGTTCTCTTGTTCTTAAAAGAGCAATTAGTTTTGATAAAATAGGAATAGTGTCATTATCTCAAATTTTCCAGATGCAGTAACACTTTCAGAAGATGTTTCATAGTTACAGATTTGGAATGAAATCTTAATAGATTGCGTCTATTTTTCTGTCATCAAAATGATACCTTATCACTATTAACTATTTCTGGTTTAATTGCCAAAACCTGAACTTTTTGCTGATATGATAACACTTCTATGTAAATTATAATATGGATCTAAGCATTCCTAGTCATAGAATCATCACGACATGACACCAATTATATGAAAAAGAACGGAACAAAGATGGGCAATGACATTAAGACAGTACTTATTCACACACAGCAGACAAAGCAAATAGTAGTTAAGACCGATGGCTGCAGTGCTGAAGGTCCGGGGTTCGATTCTGACTCTGGGCGCGAGACATTTCATTAATTAGAAGTGTGAATTTCACCCTCCCTCTCACATCTCTGGTACCCAGATAGGAGTTTAAACTTTGGGGCCTCGGTGGTCAAAGTTGTCCCCAACTTTGACCTGGAAATCAATCTGCTGATAACTCTTCGGTTTGTCTGTTCCTGCCGAGCAGCCCCGTGGTTCTCTACGAGTACTTCGGCTTCTTCCACCATAATTACAGACTTCCCGATGTCCTAGCGCTCCCTTTGTGTTGGGGTGGGGATTGCCCAGGCCTTGTATATATTGTTGTAAATACGTTAGTGACACACCTCCATTAATCCCGATAGGGAGTGTACTCGGATTCCACTGTATCCTTGCAGCTTTTGAGGGGTGCTCTGAATAACGAAGGATTCTACCAGAATATACATAGTCATACGATACCACAAGCTCCAACTGTATTATCCTCAATGCGAAGTGAACCCTCTTTTTCCTCACAAACAAACAGCTCTATTATAATACGAAGAATATTGTGTGTATAAAAATGTGATGTGAACAAATGTAAGTGAAAATAGTTTCTTTCTTAGCCTTCCCCATAACATTCAAATGGTTGCCCCCAGTATGACACCCGTCAATCAGGGCTCTACATTGCAAGTAAATGTTTTCACGTCAAAGACGTCACGTGTAAAATCATACGTTTATGAACATCGCAAATTCCTCTGTCATTTGATACTTCAAGTTTGCTTGAACGGATTTTCGTAAATATTGATGTAAAAATAAAGCCTCATATTTTAAATCATTTAAGGGTATTAGCGGATTCATCCGAGGAGTGCTGATTGAATATTTAGCCCGCTGCGTTCATTTCCGGTTCGTATGGCTACTGACTGATTTGATAATTTTCTGTGTGAAAAAATATACCAATTTACAAACGTTAATGTCTATATAGTAGATATAAGAAGATGTGGTATGAGTGCCAATGAGACAACTCTCCATCCAAGTCAAAATTTATAAAAGTAAACCATTATAGGTCACAGTACGGTCTTCAACACGGAGCCTTGGCTCACACCGAACAGTAAGCTATAAAGGGCCCCAAAAAATTACTAGTGTAAAACCATTCAAACGGGAAAACCAACGGTCTAATCTATATAAAAAACGAGGAACGAGAAACACTTATGAACCACATCAACATCTATAGAGGCATATTTTTCAGAGACAAGTGACCGCGCGTCGGGCTGTCGGATTATAGGACTGTCGGACTATAGGATTGTCGGATTATTAGACTGTCGGACTACAGGACTGTCGGATTATAGGTCTGACCCCAAATTTTACTAGAACTCGTTCAATTCTTGGTGCGTTTTCTGCTAGGTCTTTATTCATTGTATATATAAAATTAAGAAGATGTGGTATGATTGCCAATGAGACAACTTTCCACAAGAGACCAAATGACATATGTATGTTCACTACAAAGTGTCCTGCAAAATATTTAAAGTGAGATAACAAATAACATTAAAAACTGAGTGTTATATTAATGTCACCATTTCCCTCTACATATACTGTGACATGCAAATATTATATTAGGCAGGTTGGCAGTGGCTATTTTACCGGCTCAAACAAAATAGTCTCCTTGGCGCTATTTTGCCAGCCCCGGCAAAATAGCGATTTAGATAGAGTTTTGCTATTTTGCCGGTCTTAATTCAGATTTTCAGTATATTAATTAAGAATAGAAAAAATATAGAAACACGCACTTTAATAAGTAATCTCTAAAAGAAAATATGTCTTCTTTAAAACATTTATACATAAGCAAAGCATGCATATTAAAATCGATATTCTAATTAAAAATTATAATTAAAATATCCTACAAGTTTTGAAATTAAAAGTATCATTCAACAACCTCAAAATACTTTACAAGTGTTACTAAACCATTGCCTTGCTTTTGGTGCATTATTTAGTCTTACACAAGGAAGATGCTGCCAGTGCAGACATGAACTACACATAACACTTGTTTCTTTTTCGTCTGCATCACTTTTGCAAAATTGCAGATGTATACATTATATTCAACTTTCATAGAATAAATGCTGTCAATAGATTTCCATGCATCGTCTTCTGTATCCTTGGGAGACTTTTATATGTTAAGGACACAAATAAATACGAATAAAATAGTTTTGTTATAATATGCTGATCTCACTAAAAATAACGTCTGCTACCCGCATTGACAGGAAACAAGAGAGAGAGAGAGAGAGAGTAATTATCAAACCGAATACGGAATAACCCTTTCTAATTCCGGAACGATACAGATATAACGAAAATTAGATATACAACACGTCTGCACAATATTTCTTTATTAATTTTCTCTTCATATGAGTCGGACTTAATTCAAGTTTGTTTAATAACGAAGTGTCGACTTCCATTTTTGAACGTCAATGTTCAACAGAAATTAATGTACATGTAATTTAATTAGTGAAGTTCACCAAAAGTGAATAAACCAGACCCTGAAGGCAAATC